TTGAACAAATTGGAAAGCATACTCCTAGGTATAGTCATATATGCACTAATACATCTTCCATATATAGTTTGTTGGTTTGGTCCTAATTTTTCTTTCTTTACCAGTTCACCTTCTGCGGTGCCTAACAGTGCCAAAGCAGACACTCTTAGTCCAATGGAGAGAGCTGTAAGTATTTGATAAATGCCTTTATGCTCCTGCTTTTCTATGTTGCAATTATGATTTTTTTTCAAAGTAGTGTTAAAATTATGATTTATCATGATCTAATTGAAAAATGAACCAGGCTGAAAGAGAACGCATGGTTTTGGATATAAAAGTCAAGCTGCAGGTATGGCTATTTTATATTTTTTTTTCAAACATGTCCTCCGTTTAGTTATTAAGGTCGAGATCTGCAAGCACATATGTGCTGACAGTTAACCTTGCTTGACATCTCCTTGCTTGAAATTCCATTTGTTGTCGTTCCTCTGAATTCTCTTTCATTGATATTCATGTGTGGTTATCTGTTGTTGCTGGGATCATTACCTCTTTAATGTTGTTTAAGTAACTGGTAGTCTTTCTGATGGGCAATGAAAGTGCAATTGACAGTCTGCTTCAGTTTTCGTTGCTCTTTTATGTGTTCATGCATTCTTGGTTTTGGTTTGGCTCATGCATGCATTGAAGGAGAAGGTTTTGGCATCTAAGATATTTATGCATTTGTTCATCAGGAAGATGTGGAATGATGCAGAAATTGAAGTGTTCCTTTTCCTTTTTTTTCCCGTCTTCTTTTTAGTTTGTTTTCCATCTTGAAAGAGAGAAATGAAACAAATTGTTATTTTGCTGCTGTCAACGGCTGCTGGAATGGCAAGGTTGTGTGATTTATTTTCATGGTTGTTCTTCCTATTTTAATTGTTGCTTTTTCTCTTTTAAACAGGGATTGTGGTTGCGTCTTCTGAAATTAGGTGCAACTGATGATCCACTTTCATCATTTGAGTATGGCACAATCCTAGGTATGCTTCTTACAGAGTACAACTCACTGACATCTTATCAGAGGTCTTGTGTTTACCAGTTTTAAATTGGATTCTCTGTTGCCAATTTGCAATAATTGATAGTTTTTCCATTGCAGCTTTGATCGAGTCTGATGCTGAGGGAATTGGTGGTAGTGGATTTGTAGAATGTATAAGAGAGCATATAAATTCAGTATGTTTTTCTTTATCAAAAAGCATACGCTGATTAAGTGTCTGCAATGCACGATTTAACTTCAGACTTGGCTTGCGTTCTCAGGGATGGCACTGTCAATTGACCGAGGAACAGTTCATTGCTGTGAAAGAATTGGTAAGAAGGTGTTTATGCATGTTTGTTTTGTTTAAACTTCTCCATTGTGTTATAGTGGTTTCTTGCTAAATATTAATGATAGATTGAATTAGCAAAAGATTTGAATTAAGTATCTCTTTGTCTTTTTAGACGTGTTTTTTTATCAAATTCTCCATTTGTTATGATGGTTTGGTGTTATATATTAACATGATCACAGAATTTACTCAGTCTATAGCAAATGGCTCCTTCTGTAGTAAATTGCTTGGAGAATGCTTCTAATTTCTAATTTTGCATCATTTTGCAAAATTTGTTTCTTGATCCCCTTGTTTCAGTATGCTTTTATTGGTTTTTAAGGTGCTTACATTTTGTGCTTCCGTGTGCTTATATATTAACAATGATCACAGAATTACTTAGTCTATATCAAATGGCCCTTATGTATTAAATTGCTTGGAGAATGCTTCTAATTTCTAATTTTGCATCATTTTGCAAAAATTGTTTCCTGACCTTTGTTTTAGTATGCTTCTGTTGACTTGTAAGGTTCTTACATTTTGTTTTCATCAATAACTTTTCATGGATGGATTCAGCTTAAGACAGCAGTTAGTCGGGCTACCTCTAGGAATGATGTGCCTACCATTAGGGATGCCCTTGAAGTCTCTTCCGAGATGTATAAGAAGGATGCTAATAATGTTGCAGACTATGTCCAACGTCATCTTATTTCTCTATCTATTTGGGAGGAGTTACGGTAAGTCTTATGGGCTTACTTACCAGATATCATTCACTTTTGTTCGCCCTTCATTTTCTCAGTACTTTTCATCACTGAGTCCTTTGTGCAGGTAGATCTTGTTGACTTAAAACTAATTTTACCTAGTCTTATTTTTGCATCTACATTTAATGTTCTCTTCTGCCATTCTAAACCCTCCTATCTTCTGAGAATACTGTAAACTGCAACCAGGAAAAGATCGGTAGGAAGCACATTACACCTTTTTGTCACTCTCTTCCATAAGAGACTACTGGGCACGTTATTCCCTTTTTGTCATTCTCTTCAGTAGTCCTCCTCCCTATTGCTTCTTAAGTGTTGATGAATGTGTTCTACGTAATTCAAATTTCCTTGCCATCTTTCGTTTGAATTTTCATGCTCATCTTTAATGACCATGGGTGTTGTTTTCTGAAATGTTGAAATTCCACTTGCAGATTTTGGGAGGGTTACTTTGACTATCTAATGGAGCAATCCTCGGATGAGTGAGTATTTACTTTTTTTGAAAAGATTTGCTGAATTATAGCTAACTCAGGTACTTAGGGTCTATGTTTGATAGGTTGCATGTAATTGTTATGGAATGCATCTATTTTTTACTGTGTATTCAAATTAGTTCAGCTTCTTTCTGAGATTTTCCTTATTGATTCCAGAATATATGGATGCGTGTTCCTTTCTTTCTTCTTATCTGGACATGTAGAATTTAGAGAAAAAATATTAATTTTATTCTCACCTTTTAGGGTATTAAATTTAGTGTATTGATAGAACTCCTAAACTACTAATAAGAAAATTACTTATTTTGATAGAATTCCTATTACATAAAATTTCTATTATAGTAAAATGTTTGTTCTAGTAAATAATAATAAAATATCATATTCAACACCTCATCTCAAGTTGGAATATGGATATCACGCATGCCCCACTTGCAGACCAAGTTGCAAAATGGAACTAGATATTTCAGGCAGCACCTCGGCTCGATTCGGTTCAAAATGGCTCGGCTCGGCACAAAACGGATCAGCCCGGCTCAACCCGGATCAAAACTACTTGACCCGACTCAAAACAGCTCGGCTCGGCTCAAAATAGCTCGGGCTCGACCCTAAAACGGCTCGGGTTTGGCTTTAAAATGGCTCGGGCTCCATCGAAGTACGACACGAGTTCTCACACACTGTCGGACGCCCTGTCACCGGACCATCACACGCTGCCACGTGCTGCCACCGGAAACACTACGCACCACCAAGAACTCGCCGGGAATCTGCACAGAAGCTTACGCCTGCTTAGATCCGGCACGGATATGATGAAATCGCTGAAAACGTGCTGATTCTGCCTTTGCGCGAAGCTGGCCTCCGTGGCTGGGTCTTTTTCTCCGGCACACTTCGCCGAGTGATCTGTCTCCAGCTCTTCCGGTTTCATACAGACAGCTGCGGTCTCTTCTTCTCTGGCCCTCTGCTTTCAAAAAACTGCCGGACAGATCTGTCTTCCTCAGCGTGATAGATCTGATCGTGCAACAGTCTTTCGAAAAGCCGCTGCGAGAGTCACCTTCTCTGGTTCTGGTCGCACTGAAGCGTGTATCTCCTTTCCCGCCGCACACGGTTCATCTTCTCTAACTGCGCGCACAGGCCGTCTTCCTCCTTGCGCGTGCGGATCTGCTTCTTCCTCTTCAAGCCGCACCACCAAACAGTGTACCAGCTTCGTCTGGTTGCAGATCTGTCAACAGCCGCTGCCACTGCCGCCGCCTCTGTTTCCTCTCTCTCTGATCTGATCTTTGATGAGGCTCCGACGCTGTTTAAGGTGATAATAAGAGTAGATTTGGATAAATAGGTATTAACTCAGTTTATTGTGTTATTTTAGGGTTTGAAGAAAAGTCTGAAATTAAAATTTTACAATAGTTTTATTTGGCTCTAATATCATGTAGAATTTAGAAAAAAACTATTAATTTTATTCTTATCTTTTAAGATATTACATTTAATGTATTTATAAAACTCCTAAACTATTAATAAAGAAATTATTTATTTTGATAAAATTTTTATTACATAAATTCTTATATTAGTAAAATGCTTATTCTAGTACATAATAATAAAATATCATATTCAACAGGGCACCACATGTTTCATTGTCAACATGGCTTTTTTTGGTCTGGGCAGTGAATTTTTTTGGCTGTTTTTGGTTACAGAGCTGCATTGAGCAACCTTAGGTTTTAATGATATCTGACCTAAATAATATATATCGAGTGGATGACCATGAAACAATTTCATGGTAGTTTTCTTTTCTCTTCGTTTTCAATCCAGTCCTCTTGTGCGACCACTTTTTGAGGTTCATCTTTTCAGTCCAGATTTGTGACCTGATCTAGCATACAAGGAACTCATTCATGGGAGAATGAAACAGTTTACATATTCTATTCGATATGTTTCTTTGCTCCACTTGTCCATGAATGTTCCTTCACTTGCTCTCCTCTCTCTCTCTTAAAAAGAAATAAACAAAATTCCAAATGTTGGAGTACCTATTTATTTTAGTTTCAAAATTTGATGAAGAAATGAATGAACATATGAGTTCTGATATCATTATTTGGAATTGATGCTTATCTCTTGTGGTTATTTACCTTTACTTAGGTCAGCCAATTATGCAACATTGGTTACAGCTCGTCTTATTGTAGTGGCATCACACATGGTAATAGTTTCCTCTATTTGTCATGCTTCCATCTACCTTTTATTTATTTATTATTATTTTTTCATCTACCTTTATGTTTGGGATAACTTAGGTATGGACTTTGTTTCTGTTGTCATGCAGGCTGGGCTAGGACTTCCTGATACTGATGCGTGGTACATGATTGAAACAATAGCAGAGAAACAAAAAGTTGTGTATAAGCAGTTCGTAAGTCAAAGCTTCTACTTGGGTGTTTCATTAACCTCAAATCAGATATCTGAAGTACCATGCTGTCCCTTGCTTGTTCATTTATCTTAAGCATATTTATTCTGACTGGACTGCAGAATGATAAACGGTTACTAAACTTAAAAGAATCATATGGTTTTGTGTGTGTGTATATATATATATCCACACTAATATGAATATTACTAGTGGGAATCAGCTTTGAATGAAATGGAAAATGAACCAAACGGGCAGTAACCAAGAGTGAGGACATGTGGAGGTTTGATTATACTAAAAAGACTATGCTGAAGCATATATATATATATATATAGATACATACTAACAGTAATCATGGACCTCGATGTTCTCTTCCTATCTTCCTGTTTTATCTTTGATTTATTTTCTTTCTGTGATTAAGCTTTCCATCTCCAGAACTCTTTCTGAAGGGATTTTTCCTCTAATTTGTTTCAGATAATGCTCAGAGGATTTTTATCACATATCCAGCAACTTCGTATTGGTTACTGGGGTATCTCATCTGTAAAACAACAATCAGTGTCATCTCATGGATTGACGTCTCCACATCCTAAAGATGCCTCAGATGAAAATAAGCAACCTGCTGAGGCTTCTGGTATTGGAAGGAGCTGGGTTCAAAGTATGTTCAGCAGGGATACATCACGAACAAATTCATTTGGCCGTGTTCGTAGATGGACTTCAGACAGTGGTACCTCAGGTATTTTGTATTTTCCTTTTTGGTACTATCAGATGTACATATCATGGCATTCTATGATCAAATAGTCTACAAGTGTAAGAGAACTGTGACGACTGGACAAAAGAGAGGTTTGACTGGACGTTTAACTAGCCAAGAGAAGTTAACTGGATGTAGGTCGAGCATACTTGCACAGCCAATGTTGCTGTCCTTGGGCGGACAGTCACAATGGTCACACGGGACAAAAGATTTTTGGCCATCGAAAACAAGACTTTCAATGTCATCTGTGAGGGGAAAAAATCGATAGGGTGAGTGAGAATAGGAGGGACTTTAGGGTTTCGATCTTATTTTGAGAAGATGAAATGAACTAGTTGCTGGGAGCTTCACACGAATTTTACTGGACTAAAGACCAGAAGATATGGGATCGAAACAAGACGAGAATGAGTATAATTTGTGGTTGGCGATGGGCATGAATAGGAGGGAGAGGTTCCTGGTCTTCATAGAGGAGAAAGGGGAGGTAGTGAGACGAATTTTTATTCCTGAAGGTCCATGGGTTGGCGGATGGTGGAGAATGATGGTGGTGCTATTCGAAATGGTAGAGAGAAAATTTGAGCCACTAGATAAGTCCAAGGAGGTCAAAATAGATGTTCAAAAGCAAGTGCAAAGCTAGGAAGAAGGTCGAGAAATTTCACTGGTCATCCTATACTGTCCAAACTACATAACAGATATGTGTGTGATATTGGAGTTGAGGGGAGAGAAAAGCTTCGTCGAAGATGTGAAGGAGAATTCAGGATAGGGGAACCGAGTAGGGAAGAGTAAGACCCATTTTCAAAATGGGTCTGGGTAATTTTAAATTTCAAAACTCTTACTACTAAAATACGAGAGAGGTGTGTTGTTTCGTGTAGCCCAAAACATAGGGGATATGCATCTTTATAGTGACAATTTGAACTGGAATTTGCCTCACTGGGGAGACCCTAGATACAAGAGGAATGATGGCTATATAAATGCCTTACACAACAGAGAAAAGGAAATGAATCGAGTGGGCCAAGCTTAGGAGACAGGTTCGAAAAACGGATTTTGAGTTAAAATGGATTTGGGGACTTGTGACCAGGAAAAGAATGCACAAAACCGCTACATGTATCAAGGGTGAGTAGAAAATCTCTCGATCAGCAACGAAGGTGGATGTGGGCGTTGATTTCGTTGGCGAAGATTATAATAGAGGAGTGGGAGAGACTAGTGGTGATCGGGAGGAGGAAGGATAAGGTAGGGAGAATGGGAGAGAAGCTGATGCATCTGGAATTGGCCGCTACGCGGCCAAGAATGAAGATGAGGGTTTCACCGGAATCTTGGCAGTGGTTTCAATAGAGAGTGAGGCGACAGTCGTTACACTGATACAAGATGACAATGGCTCTCGTGTGGGGGTGCGGGGTGGGGGCGAGGTAGTGGTGGATGAAGAAGTGGAGGAGAAGATTAGACACTTGATCGAGGAAGAAAATTCAAGATGGGTCCTTCAAAATATTTAGCGGATTAGTAGCATGTTTGGGATTACCTATGATGACTTAAAGAAGCAGACAATGGAACTTTCTAGGAGATAGAGAAAAAAAAAAAGAGAAGGTGAGAGGGAGAGGTTAAAAGCAAAAGTAAAAAATAAACTAAACTAGGGATGAAGGGTTTTAGAGAATTGAGAAGGTTGCAGTCTGGCATTAGTTATGACAATGTGAGGAAAGGGGAAAAAAGGGAGAGAGGGTGTTTGAAGATGTTTAGTTCATGTTTGATCACATTTTTTCTTGGAATGCTTTTGGAGCATAAACAACCATAAAAAGAGACAAATTATTAAGAGTTGTATGAATTAAATGAGAATCTGATGTGATTTGCCTTAAGGAATCTAAAATAGAATTCATCTTTGACGGGATTATCTGAGACATTTGGAAACGTAAGACGATAGGTTAGAAAGATCTACCTACTAGGGGAGCATATGAAATTTTGGTTTTTTTTTTTTTTTTTTTGAAATAAAAGTAAGACAAATATTAAAGAGACGCCAAGGGGGCGATTCCGTGTACAAAGGAATTTAAAGGTCGGTAAGAATATCAACAATATAACTCAGATCATCAAAAGAGACAAGGTTTTGACCAAGAACAATGGAACCAAAAAAGTGCAACTACTTGTCCTTGATAGAAATAATGTTAGTTTCTCTGTTTTCAAAAGTTTTGTAGTTTCTTTCCTTCCAAATGATCCAAAGGATAGTAAGAGGAATGAATTTATGCCATCTGTTGATGAAATTGATGCCTTCCCAGGCAAGTAACTCCTCTTTTACAGAGCCAACGATAACCCAGGAAAAACCAACCAGCTTGTAAATCATAGACCATAGATTATAGGAGACAGGGCACCGAAGGAGAAGATGGTTACAAGATTCAGCATTCTACTTGCACATAACACACCAATTAGCCAAAACAAAGCCCCTTTTCATGAGGTTATCAAGAGTAAGAATGGAACCCATTGCAGCTTCCCAAGCAAAGACAGAAATCTTGGGTGAGGCGAGAGAGTTTCAAATAGTTTTATGAGGGAAGACAGTAGGAGAAACATTGTTGTCTGCCAAAAAACTATACAGGGACTTAAAAGAGAAAGAGCCCTTCTTGAAAAGATTCTAGCTAAATTTATCACGTTCAGACCCAATTTTTGCAGTAGCCAAGAGACGAAGCAGATTTTCGTATTCCGCCACTTCCTAGTCGTTTAGATTCCTAACAACATCCACAACCCATGACAGAGAAATTGAGGATTCGTAGGCTTTTTCAATAAGCATAGATTGTAGAATTACTTTTAGTATTTTTTTTTTTTTGTTTTTTTACAACCTGGCAATATAACAAAATTGTTACTGCCAGGTTGTGCCTTTTTTCCCTTCCACTAGGGAAATTTGTTAGTTTTTTGTCTTTTTTCTCCTTTTGCCTTTAAAATGTTGCTGATTATTGATCAATAATATAAGTGTAGAAAGAGGAGTTATTTCTTATTCTCAAATTCTTCATGGTATCAGAGCAAGGCTGATCCAAATTCTTCAGCATCCCTCTTGCATTCAATAGGCAATGGATGAGCAGACCCCTTCTTCGCCCAAAGTTCTTTTGGGCTCTCACCTTCCGGTGCCTGATAGCCATGCTCTTGCTGATCGGGCTCCATCTTTCGTTACTGGCCATCGACTAAATGGCAGTAACTATCTTCAATGGTCGTCCTCGGTGTTGGTGTTCATTCGAGGGAAAAGCCGAGATGAATACCTCACTGGAGAGCTCTCACCTCCTCCCGTGAACGATCTAAATACTCGGATATGGAAAGTTGAGAACAATCTTGTTATGTCTTGGTTGGTGAACTTAATGACCATTGAGATTGGCGAAAATTTTCTCCTTTATGAGACTGCGCACGATATCTGGGTCGCAGCTCGTGAGTTCTACTCCACTCGCGACATCACTTCCGCCATCTTTGAAATCGAAGTAAGCCTTCACAACCTACACCAAGGAGAAAAAACGGTAACTCAATATTACAATTTTCTTACTCGAAAATGACAGCAACTTGATGTTTTTGAGGAACATGCTTGGAGCTGCCCAGAGGATGCCAGATGCCAGGAGATTCCGAAGCATCGTGGAACAGAGACAAATCTTCAAGTTCCTTTTTGAACTAAACAAAAACCTCGACAAAGTAAGAGGATGCATCCTTAGAACCAAACCTCTCCCGAACATCAGAGAGGTGTTCTCTGAAGTGCGACGCGAAGAAAGCAGGAAGAAAGTGATAATGGGTGACTCGCAACTAAACCCTAACCTTGCTGAAAGCATATCTCTCTCACCCGAAATTGGTACTGTTCTCACAAGTCGAGTGACAGAGCGAAAGGGACAGCCATGGTGTGAATACTGTAAAAGGCTGGGACACGTTCGTGGAAGATGCTGGAAGCTTCACGGGAAACCAGCTGAGAAGAAGAAAACACCAAAGCAGAAAATGGAAGAAATTCATCGGGGCAATTTTGTCTCAAAAGAGGAGGAATCCGCTGCAGCCATTTCTACCGAAAGCTCCTTATTTAGTCCTGAACAAATTAGCCTCCTCCAAAAAATGTTTTCACCCAATATGGTTCTCAGTGATGTTTCTATAGCTGACAAAGGTAATTTTTCTAGTTTCTCAACTTATTCTACAAAAAGGGGAATATGGATTATTGACTCAGGTGTTTCCGATCATATGAATGAGGATATCTCACTATTCAAGAAATATAGTAAGTGCAGAAGTAAATTCTCAGTTAAAATTGTTGATAGCTCTAGTTCCTAGGTCGAAGGAACAGGAATAGTTGCACTGACACCCAAGTTAATTTTATACTCTGTAGTGTATGTTCCAAATTTGGATTGCAATCTCCTGTCAGTAAGTAAATTATCACAGGACTTGAATTGTGTGACTACATTTAACTATAAACTATATGAATTTCAGGACTTGGACTCGGGGAAGACGATTGGCAATGCTAATATGGATTCGGATCTTTATCTACTGCAAGCTGACAACTCTTCTCTTAATAGACAAACTCATCATGCAGTATGTATTAATTTTGAATCTGTAAACAACTTAAATATGGAATGCCCTATCATGTTATGGCATTACTGTTTCGGACATCCTAACTTCGTATACTTGAAAAAGGTATTTCCTGCTTTGTTTTGAAATGAAAATCCAACTTCCTTTCAATGTGAAGTCTGTTAGCTGTCCAAACATATTCGAAATTCATTTCCCAGTTCAGTTTACAAACCCACAAAACCTTTTTCATTAATTCATAGTGATGTATGAAGTCCCTCTCGGGTCACTAATATTGCCGGGACAAAACGGTTTATATGTTTTGTTGATGATCACACTAGAATTACCTGTATTTTTCTCATGAAAGCAAAATATAAAGTTGGCTAAATTTTTAAAAAATTTCACATTATGATTCAAAATCAATTTCACACCAACATCCAAGTAGTGAGGCAGACAATGGGTGTGAATACTTTAAAACTATTTTGAGTCAATATTTT